ATATATATAATATAATAATAATAATAATAATTATAATATATGTATAATATAATATAAATTACAATTATTATATTTGATAATATAACATTCGTTGCAATTTGTCAATTGGATTAATTTACAATTTTTATATACGAGTATGTTTTTAAAACATTGGAATACATTCAAATTTATAATACTGTCAAAGTAAACATTTGTTAATAATATATTTCTATTATTTTAATAAAATAAAACAAAATTGTAATAATTGATCATGTCAAGTTTCGAAAATATGCATTCGACCAAATAAATCAATAAATAACTCAAATATTTCATGTACAAAGTAGAATCGATAGATGTACCCTACGATGGGTATGTCAGTCGTGCTTGTAAAATAAAAAAAATAACTTCGATAGGAAAATGTCGAGATATCGAAAAAGGGAACATCGAGTGGTGAGAATTTTATTTGACAATTCTATTATAATTGAATGGTATCAAAGCGTATACGATGATAATAACAATTACTCCGCATTTTTATTTTGTTTCTTTTTTTTTTTTATATCCCTTCCATCAAATTAATCAACATTCGTGTAGTCATTTTTTATACGAGAAAACTTTTCAATAAATATATCTATATATATATTCGTTATTAATTCGTATCACGTTTCAAACATTTATAATACACGGTACATTTTGAAAAACATTTTGAAAACAAAAGTACGATTCCATTATTACAAAATTTCTATTAAATAAATAAATAAACTAATAATTGACAAACAAGCAGTTCCACGAATCAAAACGATGATGCTTTAAAGTATCGAATAAAAATGAAACTAAATAAAAATTGGATAGTGGTGGTTTTCTTACCTAATCCAACATTTGAAACACGTAGACCACTTTTTCCCAAGTTGCGATACCGAATACCTGGCGATGGATGCTGTAAACGTTGCGCTTGTGCAGCAATGCAGCTAGTCAGTAGCTGCTCTTTCGTTCCTGCTGTGTTGCTGCAGTGCACTCCTGTCTCCGCACCACCGCCACCCCCGTTGAACTCTTCCATGCAATCCAAACTGGCTATGGGTGCGCGACACCTACGACAAATTCATCAAGAAGACAATGTGCCACTTAACAACAACTAAATTATCTTCGTTTTATCGTAATGACAAGAAAGAGAGAGAGAGAGAGAGAGAGAGAGAGAGAGAGAGAAGATAGATTTTTATCGCATCGTTTTTCTTTGTATTTTTTAGTATTTTTTCAAAGCATCGTAAAACAACCCATAAATAAGAAAATATTTCGATTATACTATTTTCTAAAATATTTTTCTTTTACACACACCAATCTTTTTACATTGGAAATGTTAAAAGTGCATACTCTTTAAAGTCAAAAAAGTTTGAATAAATTTGATGAAATTACATTAGAAATTTTGACGATACTTCATTTCGAAACAAATTCTTTTCTTATTTATGATAATATCTTAGGAACAACTTTTTCGTTAAAAGTATAAAATATTTTGGCAAAAGAGCAATAATTACTAACAATTATTGGGTTGGCAAGAAAGTAATTTCGGTAGTAAGTATTAATTATATTATAAAATAATATAATAATATAAAATATTATATAAATATATATATATATATATAACATTTATATTTAATTATATATTTATTATTATATATTAAATTACTATTATTAAATTATATAATAAATTATATATATTTATTATTATATATTATATAATTATTTAATTTTATATTATAATTATTATAATATATTTTATGTATACATATATATATATTAAAATATTTATATTTTAATATAACAATTTATATATAATATTTTATATTATTATATTATTTTATAATATAATTAATACTTACTACCGAAATATATATAAATATATAATATTATTGAGTTGGCAAGAAAGTAATATTTCACACTACAAAACCGAAATTACTTTCTTGCTAACCCAATATATAACAATAATAAATAACAAGAACGAATATTATGACAAAACAACAATAATAGCAACAACGATAACAAACAATTACAATGCAACGATAATGCAACGATTGAAAGTAATTTGTTACAAACATTTTTGTTGCTTTGGAAAATAAATAGGGTAAACAAAAAAAGAATAAAATAAAAAAGTATCCTAATCAGTATCAGAAGCATACTACTACTCTCGAAGATGGAATGTTGATTTATATGCACAGTCAGTCGGTCACTTTTTCAAATTGGATAACTTGTTTTCTTCTTCTTTTTCTTTTTATTTTTATTTGAAACTCTTAAACAAAGTTCTTTTAAAATGCTTTCTCTACATATATTCCATTGAAATGAATCTAAATTCATTGAAAACATTCAACAACGAGATTACTTTTCTTATCATTTCGAACAAAAATGTCGACAACAATTTGTCATAGTTGTTACATAAACACAAAAAAAACAAATATATGTTAATTATTATTAAATTTATTAAAAATATTTAATAGTCTTAGAGTTTTTTTTTTCCGGATAAAAATCATTTTAATTTGAAAAAGTGTTACATAGGTATGGGTGTATTAAATTTTAATAAATTTTAATATTAATTATATTTAATTTAATTTATAATAAAAATCAATTTTTTTTATATCAATATAACATTTAATTATATTTAAATAATATCTAAATTAATTTTAATAAAATTTTAATATTAAATTTATTCAAATATTTAATATTAATAAATGTGTTTTTAATTTTCAAAAGTGTTCGAATATTTTTACTAACTGTATAATAAATTTAATATATATATATATATACAACGTTATTGAAAAAGTTTTACTCAAATAAGAAAATATATATATATATATACATACTTATATAATATAATAAAAGATTTCATTATATATATATATATATATATATATATATATATTTTTAATTTTCCTTTTCACCAACTTCGTTATGTACGTCAATATTTCAAACGTTATATATATATAATATATAAATAGATATACTAGAATAGAATAAAAAAATAAAATAAAATAAGGGTATACTCTTGAAAGGTTTTTTTTTAATCATTTTAAGAAAAAATTGATAAATGAAGATTATCGACTACTCATGTATATGTGTACTATATGTTTTTGTGTGTGTATAACTTTTGTTATTGTATAAAAGATAGAAAAGTAAAACGCGGGACAACTCGAGTTGTGGGGTTGTTAGATTACGTTTGTGCCCCTTTAAAGTCCGGGACTACCGCAAGGACTCCAATGTGGGTCACCAGCGCGGAAAACGATACCTACGCTCTTTATTATTCGCTCAGGACGTATTTAAACAGGGCTCTCCTCACTCTCTCTCTCTCTCTCTCTCTCTCTCTCTCACTCTCTTTCACCCTTTTTACTTTTTTTTTTTATTATTCAAGCTGATACAACACACACGTTGCGCCAAGTACCTAACTAAAATACCTCCTCTCATTTCTAAAACGTTTCTATTCAAGTATGCGGGATTTATAAGCATATGTGTGTGTGTGTGTGTGTGTGTGTGTGTGTGGATATGTATATATGTATGTGTGTGTGTCGTTTTAAAATCCATCATACATCTATTTTCGTCAGTTTGTGTTCACATTTTCTTGGATAGTTTCGTTCATTCAATTTTTTTTTTTTTTTTTGTATATTTTTCTTTAATTAAAATTATTCTTTCTTTTTTTCTTTCTATATTGTTTCTTTCTTTTTTATTTATTTAATAATAATATACATGTAGAAAAATTGTTATATAATGTTTTTAATAGTATTAAAAAAGGAAGATTAGTTTTGATTATTAGTTTTAGTTTCATTCGTTTATTTTCTCTCATCCTTTTTAAATGTTATAAGCGAAGATGTTATAAATTTTTTTTTTTAGGATCTAGGATTGATAGTTTGAATTTGTTTGAGTAATAAGATCGAGACGAGTCCATCTTTGAAAAAAAAAAAAACTTACCGATAAATCGTTGGCAGTGGATAAGAATCGTCGTCCTCCATGCTGCTGTTCGTATTCGCGTTGTTATTCGTATCATTTCCCCCGGTCGACGTATTTGCTAAATTGCAAAGCATTAGTCGTGACATTACTTACGACGACTATTTTTCCCTTAATTTGTGTCTTAATGTGTGATCTCGTAAGTACGGGCCACCCCCACCAATCTCAATTTCAATTCTCTTTCAATTTTTATTATTTTTCTTTATCTATCCGTTTGTCGCAAAACCAATGAAGATTTATCTCTCTCACGGAAGGAGGAATTAATTGAATGATGAATTTTTCTTTGTTAATTTTAATATGCGTGTGTGTGAGATATTCGTGACGTTTTTTTATTATTTAATCCACACTTTATTTTTTATTTTATTTTATTTTTATTTTTTGTTTTTTTTTTTAGGCACTAGTTTCCCCTTTCTCTCAAATCACCCCAACTGAATTTTTCTTTTAAATAACCCCCTCTCTTTTACCACCCCTTTCTTTTTCTATTTCTTTATACTTTATATTCTCTTTCTTTCTATCTCTCTCTCTCTCTCTTTCTCTCTCACGTTTATTATTTCCTTTTTGTTTTCTTCCTTATTACTTTATATATCGAATAACTTCTTATCTTAGGCACCTCGTATTTTTGTTTTAATATTATTTTTTTATCTATTTTTAAAAAGAGATAAAAGCTCGTTCGGTTTTCGACTTTTTTAACCGAACGTGTCGCGTTCCCAGCTGAGGGATATGATATTCATATATATACACATAATACACACACACACACACACACGTATATTATTATATACGTATCGTCAACGTTGTTACACGCTTGCTTATGAAAATCATCATAATTTCTGATTTAATTAATAATTCTCGCGACTTATATCTATTCATTTAAATATATACATATATATATATATATATATATATCATATATATCATATATATTTATATGAATACTCTTCTATATTTTTTTTTTTTTTCTATTTAAATTGAAATCTTTACTAACAATGAGAATGATCGATATGAACGTTGGATATGTGTCTAAATCCGAGATGTGTATATTATTCTGAGCCGAATATTAAAATGGCCATTGTTTGTTTTATTTTGTTGAAAAATATAATTCGTGTTAATAATCGCGTCGTCACAACCACCAACAACTACCGTCCTCGTTTCCTCTTCTTTTCTTTTATTTTTGTCTTCCTTCAATTTCTTCCTTTTTATCGAGATTTCTTCCTTTTTATCGAGATTTCTTCCTTAACTCTCCTTGTCTTCTTCGCCAGCTCGACCGATCCAGGAAACCTGCTCCTGGTTCACCTCCACCTCCACCACCACCACCACTACTACCACAACTACCACCACTACCTCTCTTCAATACCAACACCAAATTTAGCTCCAGTTTCGAAATAATTAATACCAATGGATATTATTTTAATCAAATGTTTTTTTTTTTTTTTTTCAAACAATATTATATAACACGATATAGGACTAATTATAATTATTATGTAAAAATTCGTGAGGATCTAAAACGCGTAAACCACGCTATTCCAAACATCATTCCTCCTTTTAATTATTTGCTTGACAAAACCTTTTTTTTTTTTTAATTTTATATTTGATATTATATCTTCTTCCTTTTTTTTTATTGTATTCGTCTTATGATTTATCTCATTCGTCACACCACCTTTTTATCCTTTCACTTTTTCATTAAAATTTTTCCTTTTCTTATCTTTTCTTTTCTTTTCTTCACTTGTCGATCAAAAATGTAATTTTCGTTTCGTTTACAAGAGTAAAACCGTAGATATATATATATATATATTATCATCTGACCGATAATACGCGATATGATACACAATTTGATTTTTATCTTTCTCTCAAAAATCAATCTATATATTATATAGTATAGATTATATACGATTTCATATATATATCTCGTTATATCCTGGAAGGATGTTATATATTTCTCTCTCTCTCTTTCTCACTCTATTTATCTCTTCTTTCTTCGTTGGGGGTTGGGGGAACAAGGATATATATTTTTTTTCTCTCTTATTTCTTTTCTTTTCTATTTTTATTTTCCTTCTTTCTTTTTCTTTTTTCTGAATTTTTCTTTATTCCTTTTCTTTCCTTTCCTTTGAAATATGAACGAACACGATGAAACACCGTTTAGTGTTAAAAGTGAATAAATCAGCACACCCAAAAATTTCTAACAATGATGATAATAATAAAGAAGAACAAGAATAATAATAATAATAATTATAATAATAATAATAATAATAAAAAAAAAGGTAAAAAAGGAACAGAAAATATTCGTAGAAACGGGGGTTCCGAGAGACGTGCGGCGAGTGTCGTGCACCCTGCGCGGTAGGCAACACTGCACACACTCCGCTCGTTTCGACTCGCCTCGAGATAGAAGCCGCCGTTAACACCCTCTCCTCCTACCAACCCACCCCCACTACCTTCCTTTCCGCCCTTTCCTTTCCTTTCCACCACCCAGCAGCACTACCTTGCTCCTCACCCTGTTCGGTGGTGCCGGTGCTGCTGCTGTTGGTTCTGGTTCTAATGCTGGTGCTGCTACCGTTCCTTTTTGTAGGGTGGGAAGGGGGTTGTTGGATAGGTGAGGTGAGGAAAGGAGGGTTGTTTCTCGCACGGGAATCTGCGTGGGCGCGCTTCGTCGTCGTCGTCATCGTCATCGTCGTCGTCGTCGTCGGGGTAAAGTCGACGACGATCGAGAAAGGGTTTGTGTGCGCGCGTCGTTGTCCTCAGTCGATTCTTCGAATTCTACTCTCTCTCTCTCTCTCTCTCTCTCTCTCATACTCTCTCTCATTTTCTCTTTTCCTATCTCAAAATCTTTCTTTCCAGTTTCGAGAGGATACCCTTTTATACGTACTTCACTATTATAGTAGTGTACTACTATGTATACTTGAATACCACTACAATTAAGTCTAACTACCATTACTACTACTACTACAATTATTATTACTACTACTACTACTACTACTTACCCCTTCTCCAGTCCCAAGCAGGTAAATTCATATACAAACGTGTTTGTGAAAAATAAAAGTCTAACTAATCTAATCTCTTCTTAGATGTTACAGAAACAAGAAAGGTATAATAAATACAAACTAAAATATATATATATATATATATATACGTATATAAAAAATATGTATGTATTATTTGGATATATAATTAATCGACGATGATTTGAAAAAGTTGTGTTCTATTCCTCTTAGATTTAATAATCCTTCTTTTGGAGGATATAAAAAAATAAAAAAGGGGATGTTCGAAGAAAGAAAGAAAAAAAAATGTTATTCGATAAGATGGAAGAAGAAGAAGAAGAAGAAGTAAGGAAGCACGTGATTGTTAACGCGCGTGGGTCTCGCGATTAGAGAGGGCACGAAAGGAAGATTCTACGTGCGAAGGAAGTACCGATACTATGCTGGATACTATGCGCATGGTGAAAAAGGGTGGTTAGTTGAGAGAGGATGAAGAGGAGGAGGAGGATGAGGAGGAAGAGGAGAAGGAGGATCTGCTTGGAAAATGGTAGAGGTAGAGGTGGAGGAGAAGGTGTAGAAAACGCACACACCTATGCACGCGAGGCGCTACGTTCGCTAAATTTGTCCCTTCTTCCGGTCTCTACCTATCTATCTATCTATTTATCTATCTATCTATCTATCTTTATCACCATCTCTACAACTATACTTTCAGAGTTTGTTACACGCACGCGATGGCGAGGGTTAACGTGTGTGTTCGAGTTTTCATCGGCGCGCACGCGATACCTCTTTTAAAAGAGGGGTAAAGGGACAAGGGTAGTAGGTAGGGTTGAAGAGAAGGGAAAAGTAGGGTTGGTTGATTTGGCGAAGGTGGACTCGGTAGAAGAGATAGATGGAGGTGATGGCGGTGATATGGTGATGGTGGTGGTGGTGGTGATGGTAGTAGTGGTGGTACCGAAGCTTTAAAGGGTAGGGGGTTGGTTTGGCGAAGCAAACGTTTCATCGGCAACGCCGCATTGCAGATCTGCTGCGCTGACGCGCAACCAAACCTAGCCTAACTTTAACACGCGCCTTCTCCTTCGTTCGTTGGTTCGTTCGTTCGTAGTCGACCTACCGACCTACCATACTACCACGTTTTCTATCTCAAAACTACCTTTCATCATCTCTCCCTTTTGATGCTCCCTTTAACTTGGATCGATGAAAACGTTCGATAATTTCTTTACTTGGAAATCAGGATTCTATTATTATTACTATTATTACTATTGTTCTTCTTCTTCTATTTAAGTTTGTTATTATTTTTCTGCTTCATATTTTCCTTATTGAACGTTAGTATCCGGTTGACACTATTTTCCTCTCAAATAAGCTTTTCCAATAATCGTTGGTTTTATCGACTTAACTTTCCTCTCCCTCCCCTAATTCCCTCTTCCACCCTCTCCCACCCTCTCTCTCTCTCTCTTTTTCTGTAATCGTTACACTCTCTAACGCGTTTAATCGTAGCAGTTTATCGCAAAACGAACGATTCACCGAAGATCGCCAACTACCGGAACCCTCTCCTCCTTCTCGTGACCCCCTTCTTCCCTTATCTTCCTCCCTTTCTCTCTCTCTCTCTCTTTCTTTACCTCTTTACCTCTTTTTCCGGCCTTTTCCAGCACGTAAACTTTCAAACAACCTTCTCTACCTCATCTCTACCTCTTTTACCTAACAAACTACCCTCTTTAGCTTCGAACGACTAAAAAGGTTTCCGTGTGTGCTACGATTTCTAAGCGATTATTATCTAGCACGACGATGAATCGATTAGGGGGTTGTTGTTTCTTGCACGAATAGCGTGTTTTAAGCGTTCTAGTCAATTTCAAAACTCGTCGTCTTCTTTCTTATCTACTTTTTATCTTATTTCATTATTTCTAAACTTTTACACAAAGATATATATATATATATATATATATATATACATATAATTATATGGTAATTTTGTAAAACTCATACATACAATATTTTTTTTTTATTTTTATGTATAAATGTACAATATAATAAGTTTTATCTATGGTATATATATAAAAGGTATTATATTATTATTCTTACCCTTCTTAACTCGTACGATAAGTAATATCCTAAAAGATAGGTTCTTCACATGTAACACGTAATCACCGAATTCTCCACGATGAATGTATATATATATATATATATATTTTTTTTTTTCTTTATATATATATATATTCATTCACACCATAACTTCCTCTCTCTCTCTCTCTCTCTCTCTCTCTCTCTCTCTCTCTCCTTCTCTATTTTATTCCTTCGAGTACACGCGACACGTTGCGGTAAAATCTTACACCTGTACAACCGTACAACCGTTATTTTGAAAAAAAAACAACCAAACTCGCACGCAACTCTTTTTTTTAGTGTTTCCCTCTATTAACCCTACCTTTCCCCTAACTAAAGGAGGAATTGATAAAGGTGAAGAATAGAAGGAAGAAAATAAAAGTTTCACGTAAGAGTGGTCAAGAACAAAAAAAAGATTGAGAAAAGTTAGAAAGAGGTATAAGGAAAAAAAACCAATAGAAATGGATAGACGAATAAATGGAAAAGATAGACGGACAGATAGATAGATAGATAGATAGATAGATAGATAGAAAAGGAAATAGAAAGAGAAAGAGGGAAATAGAGCAAAACAGCTTGGTTCGCTGCTAAAATTTCACTGGCCGCTCGCGGACGACTTTCTCTCCCCCGTTCGTTCGTTAGACGTCGTTTCCTCTCTCTCTCTCTCTCTCTCTCTCTTCCTATATATCTATGTGTATGTGTGTGTCTCTCTTTATCGTGTAGAAGAGCGGGAAATACGTGCAACGAGGCGAACACGTCATTGAATTCGTGCCAAGGGTAATATGGATTCTGCGGCATGCGATCTCGAAAGCTTTTCGGGGAGAAATACAAGAGTATAAGAGAGAAAAGAGAGTGTCAAAGAGAGAGAGAGAGAGAGAGAGAGAGAGAGAGGAAGATAGATAGAATAGAAGACACAATATATGTGTATGTGTATATGAGAAAGAGAGAAAGACAAGACGATATTCCTTCGTTCGATCTTTCTTCTTCAACGTGTCCCAATTGTCAGTGGCGTGTGCGCCTTTGTGTCTCACATAAGAGCCCACAAAAGGGCATTTTCGGCTCGGTGCCATCAAAAGTATAAGCTCCCAGAAAAGATAAAGTTATGGTGGGGGTAATGATTCAATTGCTGGAGGGATGATATGGAAAACTATCGCGAGAGACAGATTTTCTTTTCTTTCTTACTTTCTTTTTTCTTTTTTATCTCAACCGGTTAGTTTTTTTTCTTCTTTTTCTTTTAAATTTTTTCCTCGTCTTCTTTTCTTTTCTTTCTTTTTTTTTTTTTTTTTTTTTCCAAACACCACCACCCAACCACCCACAAACTCACCCTCTCTTTTTCTTCTCATTTTTAAGTTGTGATTCATCTAGTAGGTACAATTGCGGTCGCAAAAATATTGATACAATGTTTCATTATTTATTTATTTTTTTTTTGTTCTTTTTCTA